GCAGAGGTCGCAAACGGGTTTTGATTCCTTACCCGTACCCGGCCGCACCAGGGTCGCAAACGGGTACCCGTACCCATACCCGGCCGTACCCGTACCCGGCTGGGAACGGGTACCCGTACCCGGTACCCGGCCGGGAACGGGTAGGGTACGGGTATCGGGTACCTGATTGCGACCTCTGGGACGAAGCCATGTTGCAGGCGCGGGTGGGTTGATTCCAGAAACTTGAATTGTGAGAAGAGACAAGACGTTGGGAAATGAGTGACAAACGGTGACTCACCAGTGACTCACGGTCTACCCGTACCCCTACCCGACCGCACCAGGGTCGCAAACGGGTACCCGTACCCGTACCCGGCCGGGTATGGGTAGCCGGGTATCGGGTAGGGTACGGGTATCAGGTACCCGGTTGCGACCTCTGCTGCCGAGCCAACACTCGGTGCCTTCTGTCATACGAAGAAACATCCACCCTGGGTTGAGAGGTGGAGGAACACAAAGAGGTGTCCACAATAGAGGGTTTTTTGGGGTTAGATCGCGTAAATGTATAAATGTGTCGTTAAAACCCGCCACCGCCACGACACAGCCAACTAGTAAGGGTTGTCACGTAAACAGAACGTGCCAATTCGTTACGAGTACAGCACACCGGTGTGTTGGAGAGCCAAGCCACAACATTTACAATCTGAGTACGACGTTTCGCCAGTAATCACAACTAGCATCATCAGGTGTGCCAGCACTGGCCTATCCACACCACCAACTCAACAGAACTGAATGTGTGTGGCCATTTTGTCGTTCAGACCACCGGCTGGCTCAAAGAGCTGAAAAAATGTGGCCGTCCCGACAAGCGGCAGCGACGCAAAGGCAAAACATCTGACCGGTTTCATCCTCATTAGGACTCATCAGTACAGGACATCATCAATGTTCGCTGCTGACATATCGGTCCAATCGCATCAAAGTGAATTTGTAACTTTCACTTCAATTTGTAGCAAATCCCAGCTCTGCTAATGAAACACAAATTGGTTTCTAATGCGACGAACGGAAGGCGCTTTTTGCACAGCAAATAAAGAATGCGTCTAAAGTCTGGATTAATAACGCAAATGTGACCATCCGGGGTCATTCCGTTACACTGCTCCTCAAGAAGCCAACTCAGGTTGCCGGGTTCATAGGGGCAAGTGAGTTCTTCCACTGCACCACCATTTCATCGCTCAAGAGGCTCATACACAGTGATAGACAGGAACAGTGAAAGTGGTGTCGTCTCTAAAGCGTAAATTGTCACCAGTAGTAAACCATCATGCGTGGCACGTGTGTTATGATTCTGGGATGAAATCCAGTGTCTGGGAGGAAATCCAGTGTCTGGGACAGACAGTAATACCAGCGTGGCAGGGAAAAGTGGATAAATATTTATACGTGAGAGATATATATTGCGCCGAGCACATGAGATCAGGTCGCGAGTGAATGAGTTGAAAGGAGGAATAATGAGTGAACGGTTTTAATGAAGAGGCTGCCGCAGTAGTGCACAAATCACAGCACGCAAGGTGCCAGCAGCACACACTACGGAAAAATAATTCCATTTTTGGAGAATATAAACTTTGTCACCTTATGTGAATCTTTTTTTATATTCCAATAAGCTAATTTATTTCGCTTCTTAATGGGCACCCAATGAATAATGTTAACTGAGATTCAGCTGACAAACTAATTCTGACGTCTTCATTGGCAATGCTATAATCAGTGATTTTAAAAACTAGGGGGGCATTGGCTACTCTTCAAAGTATATCGGATGGAGGGCAGAACATTGGGATTCAGTTGCCATTTTGCAAAGTTGCGCCTTTAGAAAAGACTGGGAAATTTAGGGAAACAGTTCACATTTGCACGACGGTAAAAGAACTGTCGAAAGCCAGTCCACACTTCTCCCGGTTAAACACATTCCGCGGGAAAACATTGGTGAAGAAGGAGTCGCGGCCAGTGGACAAAGCGGAATAGTATAAGGGATGGTCGCCGATGGATGAGACTGGCTGTGAGCTGGCAGCCAAAGAAGAAAAGATGCCCTAGAGCACGGGTGGGGAACGTCCGGCCCGCAGGCCGTATAAGGCCCGCAAAATCATTTAGTCTGACCCTGCCAAGGCAACCGCAGGCGGGACTCTAAATTCAATAAATCTAGGAGCAAACCTGGAAAAGCAGTTGCGAGTAGCAACATCATCAATACCGGCTAACATCACACGCCTCGCCAAAGAGAAGCAGTTCCAGCCATCACATTAGGGGTGAGTTAATTAAATGTTTGACCAAATATAACGGGCACATTTTTAAGTTGATAATTTTGTATGGGCCGCGAATGATGTTATAAATATCCAAATGGCCCTTGGCAGAAAAAAGGTTGCCCACCCCTGCCCTAGAGGATGACAATCGCGGAGATGGAGAGGTGGGACTGTGCCATTGTAAGGGTTGGCGATAGCGTGCGGAGTCCTTCATCTCACGGTGGACAAACCGTGATTAACGATGATTATACATTTCCACGATTCATTTTAGTCTATCAGAACAACAACAAAAAATCCTCCACTAATCACGCATCATGTACATATATACTCACACGTAATGAAATTCAGTTAACAAATAATTTGCATAATTGATTCGTCCATTAATTTAGACACAGGGAATTGTCCTTAGCCAAGAGGCATTTTGTTTCCGGAATGAAACTAACAGATAAAGAGGTCATCATCATCATCACCATCGTTGTGGCAGATGCAGTGTTGCATTGTTGGTCGTGTGTTTTGCTGATGAGGGTAGCCGTGACGACGCGAAGGTCGCCGTGACGACGCGAGGGTCGCCGTGACGACGCGAAGGTCGCCGTGACGACGCGAGGGTCGCCGTGACGACGCGAAGGTCGCCGTGACGACGCGAAGGTCGCCGTGACGACGCGAGGGTCGCCGTGACGACGCGAGGGTTGCCGTGACGACGGGAGGGTCTCCCGCGATGGTCGCCGTGATGATGAGAAGTTACGCCACACGGTAACGGATCCACGGTAATCGCACAGTCCGTGTTTTTGGCAAAATATCATCGCGCCGTCGTGATTTATTGCCGCGCACGTTCATTATTTATTCAAAATATTTTAATTCCAGACGGGAAAAAAATACTTGTTAAATAACCAGCCCGGTAATTAGAGATATAAATAAATAACCGTTGCCCATTACGTTAGGGCTTTGCCAAACGTTATTTGCACCCGATTGATGGCGTGGAGATTACATGGGGGCATCATGTTATTACCGCAGTTAATTTCATTATAAAAATTATTTCAGGGACACTAACAGCACACGTGCGTTAAAGGCGTTATAGATTATAAAGATGAAGAGAATTGTGGCAGGCTCGTTTTGAAAGACCTGCAGTTTAAGAACTTTTAAGTAGTCTGTAATTGGCACTCCAAGTATTGCAAAACACAACGATAATACAGTACGGTAACAAATACAAACTTCATGGTAAAATTACATTGCGATAACTGCCATAGTGTCAAGATGAATATCTTATCGTGTAGTGTCGTGAAATAACCCGAATTGTGATGCTGCTCCAAATAATAATAATGAAGATGTCGACTTGTAACACCATCTTCTTGGTTCTTTCGGTAAAGTCACGTAGAAGGGAAATAATAAAATAAAACAATAAAATAATTCTCACGACGTTTCGGCCACAACGCAAGCAGCCGTCCTCAGGTGAAGAACAGGGCTGTCGGAAAGACACCTGAGGACGGCTGCTTGCGTTGTGGCCGAAACGTCGTGAGAATTATTTTATTGTTTTATTTTTATTATTTTATTATTTCCCTTCTATGTGACTTTACCGAAAGAACCAAGAAGATGAATCCCTGCAGTCACGAAAGCTTTAAATCGAAATTGTAACACCATGCCGCCAGCGTCGCCAGAGAGCATTCACTCTCTCACACAGAGGGAGAGAGAGGACGACTCAGAGGCGCCAGGGGGAGGAACTACAGACACGCGGCGAGCCACCGCCAACCATCGCCCAAGCTCTGCGGTCCTCCGTATATTGAGGTGTTATCGGCCAATTTCATGGGTGCTCACGCGTGGATGAAAACCAGAGCGTCCGCGGAAAAGACACACGTGCGTGCGAGGGGGAAACACTCGATCCCATACAGGCGTAGCAGGTGGAGTTCACATTTTTTGCTCTACCGCCTCCACAGCTCGTCCTCGAGAACCACGGGAAGGGAGATTCAGAGGATCTGCGCAATCCACCGACCCTCGCTGCCTCCGCAGTGCCGGGGGGTACAGGCCACGTGTGTAGCCACCACCAACAAACATCTGCGCCAACTTGTGTTTATTTTTTGTGGCATCCATTTATTTATTTTCTTTCTATCTTCGCGTGCACTCTTTGTGGCTGGTCCAGCATCACGATATGCTCAAAATTAATCCAAATCATTAGCCGTTATAATTGGTCAAAAATGAAAACGCAATGGCATTCAGAAGTGTAGAGCCAACTATTTTTGTTCTGTCCATCTGTCTGCAAGGGCTGGCAAAAGGGTTCTAACTTAGTGCTCTGTCCAATGGCAGGGCTTTGGCTCAAACTCCTGAATCCCTGTTCTTTCTTGAGCTTTCTTTTTCTATTTGCTGTCCACCACCACCACCACCTCCCACCCACCTTTCTTTCTGGCCTAATTTCCAACATCCTTCTACAATTTCCTTCATCAAGCTCTTACATCTGGGAATATGCCCAAATCCAATGAGCCTTTTTTCATCGTTCAAAATAAACGTCCCCCCCCCATCCCCCTCCTCCCCCTCCCCCCTCCTCCTCAGCCTGCTCCAAAGTGCTTCCTCGTCTCTCCATCGACGCTCGGTGACACGAAAGAATGCCGCACAACCGAACCTGGCGATGCCCAAGCGCTGCGAGGCAATCGACTCCAATCCGTGCGCGCTACCCAAAGTTAACCTCGGTTTACGGATGCGTGCGTGAAGAGGGTGATTGCGCATGCGTGCACGTGTGCGGGCTCACAGTGGAGCCATCGCGACGCTCACCAGCTCTGCCTTCAACCGAGCGTTCTCCTCCTCCTTCGCTCTCAGCTGCCCCCGTAGCCGGGTCACCTCGTCGGTGGCCGCGTCCTGTTGAGCGGAGGGGGCACGCGGTCAGAGTGGGCGAAGGTGAAATGCTCAAAAGGAGAAAGAAAAGAAAACAAACGCTGTCCATCTGCGGCGGTGGACACGCTCCCAGGGGCAGTCGCTACTCCAGCCCTCATGATTATTCGCTTTCTCCAGTGGCATTATTCGGGGGAGAGCAACTGTTTGTTGATGAGGGCACAGGCACGCAGAGAATGACGGGGCGAGCACGGAGGATTATGTACGTGTACGTATGCTGAACTTCTTTTGCACCGTACGTAGCAAGCAGCGCGCTAATCCGAGGTGCGGGGGCAAAAGGAAAACAAATGAAACACAAAAATCAGTTGTGAAGAAATTCGTTTTCCATCTAGATTTCAAAGATTAAACTCCCAGGGCCAGATATGAATTCAAATTTTTCCAACGTTCTCGCGCATCGGAGGTGACTTTTTAGGATTTAGGTGACCCCGCCGGGAAATCAGCCGCTTTGGCTGCGCCACAGGTGTCACCTCCAGACTGGGCGAAGGCAAAGGGGATGGGCGCGAGGTTCGCCGTGTCCCCTTAACGTGATTGAAAAGGTATGCATTGGGCGCAAAAAACAAGGCACCGGTAAACAACAACAGAATCGCTCGCCACTTGAGTCTAAACTCTTTTCTTGTGCACGAGATACCAGGGTCTCGGAGTAGGAGGTGATAAAAAAATATATTGTCTGCAATATACATATGTTTAACTTCTTTCGCACTGCACATAGCCAACCGTGCTAAACGGAGGATCGGGTTCAAATAATCATCACCGGTATTGATGGCCATGGATGGGGACGGGAATCGAACTCGGGTCACCGGGTTCGTAGTGCAGCGCGCTAATCGCTACACTACCACTCCCAACATTAGAGGACACGCACAGACAGGTCAACTAAATAATCTGAACTATTTACATGAGAAAGGATGTTGGCTAACAATCAACATTAATCACAGGGTGGCTGAAGGACATTGTATATTACATGAATTACTTGTTTCCTTTAAGAAATGCCGGTTTGTGGGGGGGAGCCGGTGAGACTGGCAATGAGCTGTCATTTTTTTAAAAGTATTTTTGTTTACATTCAAAATAAATATACCTATGTCATATTTTCTATGGGGAATACAAATTCCGTGATGTTTCCATGAATTGCCATCGTCCTCCCCGCGCCGTGGCCATGAAATTTAAATAAAATTGAGCGAGACGAAAAATTAATCGCCTCTCTGTCACGCCTGACGATGGCGACAACGACGACGATGATGATGGATCAAAGAGGGCTTCCCTGACCGCAGATGCGTTCGCTCCCAAAAAATTCCCATCTGCCGGTTTCGAACCCTCGGTGGGCGCCATTCAAACTTGGCCGTGGTGCCCCGGCTGTAACAAGCGGCACATCCACCCTTCGAGGACGCGGTTGGCTCGACGGAGGGAGTTAAAACACCAGACGGTCTCACCGTCGGAGGGCATTTGCCAAACAACAAATCTTTTCGGGCTGAAAGCCGGGGACAAAGTATTTAGAGAATTAGGTCCCATCTGCACGGCATACGCTCTTTTTTTCCTCCAAAGGAAGGATTCTCCGGCAGGGGTGAAAACATGAGAGGAGTGCTTTGATCCTCAATTCCGGCGACAGTAATTCTGACAAAGTCATACGCTAATCCGCGTTGAGTAATAGTACAAAAGCAGTGGCCGATCGTTTCCGCACTGGCTTTGACCCAAATTTCACGCTGGGTTTATGCAACGCAATCGCTCACTGCCAACGCAAGGGTTTCATTTAACCTCCACGGTGTGTGTGGTTCGGTGGGGGGGGGGGGGGGCGGCAGGATGGCCCAACATCTTCAGCCGAGGCCCACGTCAGGAATGTCCAATACACGTAATTGAATGATTGATGCTTTCCCCAGTGGGTCACTTTAAATCTGCACTCTGCAAAAGCTCGGGGTGGCTCGCCCTGTTACACGTATCGGAGTTTAAATGTGACCCTGCAACAAAAAAACACCTGGTAACGCGAGTGTACGGACACGGGTATATTCAATTACGGCACCGCGTTCCTGCGCGTGTGTGTGCGTGCGTGCGTTCCGTATGTTACGCGCGTGAGCGCACGTGCGCAAACTTGCAGGGTACCTTGTCGTGCGTCTTCTCCTGCCCTTCTGACTGACAGTTCAAAGACGTTTGCGTTCTGCTCCCAGAAACAAGCTCCTCGTCCTGGCGGGGAATAAATAACAAACGTGGCCGTAAATTACCGCACGCGCACGCCAACGGAACCCTGTACCCGGCGCTCCTGAGTGCACGAGAACGTGTGAATAACTCGGCAAGGTAACCGTTACAAATGTTTACACACACCCACAAGTCAAAATACCACTGTTTTTTTTACATACAAATGTTTCCAAACCTGTGGACGTACAATAAAATGCGTAGTCTTTGCAACCCAATCTTAAATTTGTCTACCTCTAATAAAATGAGCAAACAAGAATGGCTAAAAATACGTGGCTCTGGATGATATTTTCTTCATCTTCAACATTTCATGTCATCATAACGAACTTCTGAGTCGTTAAAATGTTTAGTGAAAAACATATGCAGCGGTGGCGGGGGATCTTTAATGCATTGGTAAGTACGCTGCGCTACAAACCCAGCAACCTAAGTGCGATCTCGGGCCACGGCTGACATGAATGGCGAGCGGTATCTGAACTGGTCCGCCCTTTCACCAGCACGCGCTGACCAGAATGGCTAAGTGTGGTCAAACAACTGCCACGACGAATAAAGCCACGGGGGAGACCTCATCCGGGAATGGCCCAACAAAGCAATGTGCGCAAGTGCAAGATCACTGACACCATACGTCGCTGAACCAAACAATAATCGTCGTACAAACAAGGAATTACGCATTTGCCTTGTATACTATAAAACACGTTGAGAAAGACCACCGTCTGGAATGGCATTCTATTGTTGCGAGCACTCTTATTGTTGGCGAGGCAGTGCTCATGAATTATGTAGACGGTCAGGTTCATTTCAGTCCACAAGCCAGTGTTTGTTCTCATTGTTAGTGTCTTGTGTTCACCCTGATCTGTCCGTATTGATGGAACCCGGTCGGTCTAGCATTCACTGCACGTGCCAGGCAAAGCACTGTCAAAATAACCCCGATTGTCATTATTCCCAGATTGCATTTCTCTTAGCATTTTTACAAATTGCCGCAATTGCTACGTTCATGTTTTTTCGTCCGCTGAAATAATTTTGTCCTCATGATGCAGGCAATCTTTGAACCTCTATCAATGATAAAAAAAAATAAAAAATATAAACTCGCGACGCGTTCCCCATTTTTCTGATCGTATGGAAAAATCCGAAAAATCGAGGCGCGATGCGGAACTCCGGACGATCGGAATTTGCGGTGCCTTCCGGGTTCATCCGCAATTGCGCAGCTTTCATCGCATCAATCCCCGCACTTCTTACGGCCAAAGCGTAGCATTTGGCCGATTGTCACTCTTGTTTGCACTAGGAAACTTTAAACCGTTACATCCCGAAAATAAAGTAACACAGGACACATCTGACCTGTGTGGCCTGATATTGGGGGGGGGGGGGGGGGGGAGATCGACACAACCCGTGATATGTGCCGCACAAACATATGCAGAAACGCACATAAATAATTAAGAACACACATTACTCCTCATTAGCTACTAATTTACTGTAAAACGCATTCCTTCCCAAATATGAATTCCCGTGTCAAGGAGGCATGAAACGCACAAGAGCGATGCGATATGCTCCATTAATGAAGTTAAAAAAAGAAATAAATTAGCGACGCGTATGGCTCCCCGCTACGTTGCATCAAAAGAGACGCTTCCGTGCCAAATTGAAGCGAGACAGCAGGCGTCCGGCACGAACGCTTTCTCGCTGTGAGCCCTTCGGTGAAATGCGTGCACGATGAGACGCGCAGTTTGAACCGCTTACAAACAAGCTCCGAATTAAAGCAGTCTTTTTTTTTTCTACCAGGTAAGGCCTACCGAGTTCTTTTTTCAGAAGCGACCAGGCCACAAATGACAGCTCAACGAAGTGGCTTATCACGTGGAAATGTATAGCAGCCAAATACTCTAAACGCGTGATGTTGATTCTAAACGTGGAGGGAAACACCGGAGGACCCGGAGAAAAATCCCCGCAACCACGGGGAGAGAGAGAGAGAGACACCGCAAACTCCAAAAATACAGGAGGCGTCAGGGTCGGGATCAAACCCACAACCTCCCGTATACCAGTCGAGGTAAACATCTCGCCACCGCGGCACCCCCATACATTTGCAAATACATATTGCATCCATATTACTGCGTTGCATCTCTCGCCACACTCGGCACGCGGAATGATATTGCGTCTCAAAGCACGGCAAACGTCGGTATCTTTTGTGAACCCGAGGCTCAGACGTCCGGACTCCGTGATCATTCTCAGGGTTCTTCGCAAAATAACCCCAGCGCTCAGCGGCAGGAAGTAGGCGGCACAGTTATTCTACTTAGCCTTCAGGCGTTAATGTCTGGGGCTAAGACAGCCAGACTGAGGGCACCTTTCAGCATACTCAAGAGTTCAGGGTTTACTCCCCCCCCCCCCCCCCCCCAGAGTCTCGAGAGGGTCACACTGAAGCGCCCCATCTAGGGTTAAGGGCTAGGTGGTCGAGACTAGATGCTCACATGACCAGACGAGGTCACTTTTAGATTTATTAGGGTTCGGTGTTAATGCGCGAGGGCTAAAGGAGACGGCTTTGAGAGAGAGACGTAGTCAAAGGAGAATGCCCTGAGCAGTTAATAAATTCATAAACGGAGCTGCGCCCTTGCGCTCACACCGGATGGTATATATATATATACCGGGGGCTTCAGCGGCGTACGGCAAAGCCCAAGCCGGTGACACGCGGTTCTTCTTGCCGCGCGTCACTTATCACGCCGGCCGCGGCACTGCGCTGCACCGCCACTCTGCGCATCTAAAAGCTTTTGTGTGTTTAGCCCTATCTGAATGGGGCCAGTTGACCTGATCCCCAACACGCTGCTGGACGGCGAGGATAACCTTGTCAACCAGACGCAACGTTCACGGCACGTTCACGGTGTCCTTGTTTTTTTTAAACATCGTACGTACCGGCTCGTGCGCTGCGCGACGGCGGCTGAACAACGGACGCGCAGGAGCAACATTTGCCGGTGCCTCAAACACCCGAAAGGAAAGTCGGAATTTTCCCGTCGCATTTCACGTCGTACGCGGTGCAATGGGTTAGGCAGCGCACTGGACTTGCGATCCGGAGGTCGATTGACGGAGGTCGCGGGATTCGATTGAAACAACGACACGAGTTTCTTGAATCTCCATCTGCACCAGCAGCGACCGCCCACCCACCCCTCCACCCCGTTTCTGTCCTCCAAGCAGTATAAATGAGTAGAGCGCAATTTGTTGAACGGTAGGTGAGCGGTGTGATGGGGTGCAGTGCGGGTACACCCACCTCTTAACCGACAAGACATTTGGCCAGTGTGGAAGAGTAGGCCAGATTCCCCAGGACTATCTCACTCTCTCTCCAGTTGGAGGCCCTAGCGCCAGCAATGGCGTGTGAGAGGAGACCAACGTTGGGGCTGTTCCTTTATCTTCATCGCGTATTTTATACAAAAGTTATAATGCACAAGTTTTCAAACTATTTATTTAAAGATGGACCTCTTTCTTCAGCCTGATGAGGATTGCTTGCGTTGCGATCGAAACGTCGTGATCGATAATTTTTTCGACCCACGTGACTTTACCGAAAGAAACAAAAAGTATGGATTCCTGTAGTCACGAAAGCTTCAAATCAAGATTGGACTCCTTGAACTTATGACGTGAGTTCAATATCGCGAACGTAAAGAAATTGTTGATGAAAGGAAACTTGACAAATAAACTGACAAACGAAAACAAGGATGCGATGACAGAGGTGCCACAGAGATTAGGCGCTGCCCACTGGCCAGATGGAGTCACAGGCTGCGTGGCCTACCCTATACGCATCGATACCAAGCAATAATATGATTTGCCTTCAAAAAAAGAAGGCGCAAGCAGTCGGTTTAGCATTGACGCGACAATTCCCCTTGTATCGCATAGGCGAATTGTCCGGCATCCAGCGCTGTGGAGGCAGCGGCGAGGGTTGGTGAATCACCGCGTACGAACACTGACGATGTTGCGAAATTCCCTTCCAATGGGTGTCGAAGAGGAGCCGTACTCGGACGATGCCAGGAGAAGCCGGTGCACGGCCAAGAGTGGTTGAATGTAATCTGTCCCTTCTGCACGCGATGAATGGTGCTCTCCCTCACGGGCGTGGGTTCTCCCCTGGGCGCTCCGATTTCCCCGTACGTGTACAAACACTCAGTAGTCGGCTGAAAAACATCTTAAATTATAGAGGACTACAGATCTTGGGCAACTGTTGGTTTCGATTCATTGCCTGGCTGCTGACTTCCAGCTTGCCTGTGGTTCCACAGCGATTGTGGGATGCAATTCAGGCCAACGACGATGCTACGTATAAAACTAAACATCATTACGACGATGATTCTCGCATTGGCGACAGTGAAAACGACGCTAAAAATCAACGACTCTGCACGCATGATGCCTAACGGCCGCTTGGATGGGTTAATAATCATCGCAGGCAATATATCATAACACAGGCCACATCCCTACCTCCGGGTCACGTGATTGGGGGAAAACCCACCCCCACCAAAACAACAGAAAAAACAAACGGGTTTGTCAGATGTTCATGGATGGGCTTTCATCCCACAGCGGATTAAGAATGCTCAGCAACGATTATTACGACGGGGAGCCCGCACTGCTCGTCTTTCCCAAGGGTAGGCTGCCGGCCACAGCCATCATGATAGCGCCTTAATAAACAATATTGTCATCGCGCTCTTCCAATCTTCACAATTGATTTTTTTTCTTCTCCTCCTCCTCCAAATCATCCTCCGCCTTTCATTAGTTTCGCCAAATGTCAATATCCTTCAAATTGTCGGGGAAATCCGTTTTAATCCGGAGCAAAAATTAACATGGGCCGCTACACGCGCACACACACTCGCACGCACACACACTCGCACGCACACACACTCGCACGCACACACACACGCACGCACACGCAACGCGACGCGACCACCACCGCGACGGCGGTGTCTCTTCGGCGATCGCGCTCAACGGGCGACTTTCCTCGGCCGCCCCCTTTCATTTCCCCTTCTTCGTGCCCGGTTTAGCCCCGG